TCATGCTTGTTACCCTCTTTGAGCTTCATTCAACATTACTTATGGTCAAGCTAAGAAGTTTCCGCTTCATGAAAAGATTGATTTTACTTACACAATTCATGTAGGAAGGTACCTCTTTAGATTATAAAATTACTTTGTTAACTTATAAATTTAAATATTGTAACCTAATTTATATATTAAAACAAAAATTTCGATCATTAAACCTATACTTCCTGCCACGAGTGGTGGGCAATCATTCATGGCTCCAAGTTTCCCTGAATGAATGAATTTTGTTAATTTTGTGTAAAAGTGTGTTTGTATTTAAGTTGTTATTTTGATTAGTTTAGATTTTTTTCTTTTTTTATATAAATTTAGTTTTAGTTATATTATTTTGCAGTTTGATTTATTTTGATTTGTTGTACATAGAGTGTGAATGTGCTCACTGAACACTATTATAAATGCCCTTAATACTAATTCCAGAGTCTTACAAACTTAAGCCCCTGCTACACGATAATAAACGATATTCATGACGGTAACGAACAGCGTCTTAAGGTTTTAAAAAATAAAGTATTGCGTAGAATATTCTGACCGAAGAAGGGTGAGTTAACCGGAGATTTTAGACGTTTACGCCGAATTGCGTAAACTTTATCCGATTAATATAATTGAGGTAATTACATCGCGGCGAATCAAATGAGCTTGTAAAGTTGTTGGACTTAGTAACATAAGAATTCCTAAAACCTTAATATTTGCCAAACCGAATGGTAAACGTCCGAGGGGTAGACCGAAGCGAAGGTGAGAAGATTGCGTTAAAGCCGATCTGAAGGGACCGGGTTTGGACGGCGAATAGTGGAGGGAGGTGCGAAATAAGCGATTGGTGGTATCGGCATCAAACCTTCGGGTTCGCTAAGGCTATTATTCTATTCTATGTATACGAACTAATGAAAGAAAGATCGTCATTAGCCCCAGCTTTAAGATGCATTACTCTATTATACGATGTTATGAATGCTCCGAACGTTTAGGGCATGTAGTTCAACACAAATGCCCAATTATTAACGTTCGTGTTAAGGACACGATGCGGCAGTTGTCATTTTTTTCAACTGAGTCAAAGGAATTCCCAAGAATCGTCATTCAGCGAGTTCATCTGTGGTAGTATTTTTCACCACTAAAACTGTTAAGAGCTGCTATTAAACCTTTACATATTTCCCTTTTTTCACAGAACACGCTGTATATGTATATAAATTAAAGATAATGGCGACTACATTATATAGACTCATTGAGGATCCACCATCGCCACACATACATACAGCTTTGTCAACGCTTGTTTGTTTCTGTACACTGGACTTTTGGCATATTTTCTTTGGGCACATGGTCCCAACTAGCTCTTTTCTTTTGATTTTAAATCATGTCTCTAGGACTGATGAGTACGCTTTGTCATTTAGCAACTCAACACAATTGGATGCAATGACCTGGTCGTTCTCTCTCTGCAGGATTTCGCCTCATCGCAGACTATCACAGTAGTCACTATTTAACAGGCAACATTTTTCAAACTCACTTTTAATATATTAAAAGAGCTAGATGACGCTTTTAAATGAATAATGTATTAAAAACATCTTCATTTGCTTAAAATATATATGCACTGCACACATGCTCTGCGTTTCTACGCCACTGGGTTTGTAAATCATTATAATACATATTTTCACTGTAATGGGAATTTAGTTGCCCTCAGTATTATATTATAAATAGCTGTCAAAAACTTTAGTGGTAAAATAAATTTTAAAAAGCATAACTCCCTGTTGAAAAAATCCGATACCTAGGACTCCACCTGGACAAACGACTAACTTGGAATCCTCATACTAGACTGAAACGACAAGAAACCGCTTGACGTTTCCGATTACTGCAGCACTTACTAGACAAACGCTCTAAACTTCCCATTAATTATAAAAGACTCATATACTTGACTATAATAAGACCTATTTGGACTTACGGAGTTGAGCTACGGGGCTCCACTAAACCATCGAATTCCTCTCGCATCCAATCCTTACAATCCAAAATCCTTGGTAAAATCCTCAATGTTCCTTACTTTGTCACTAATAAAATTATCCATAAAGATCTTAATGTTCCTTATGTTTCAGATCTGGCCCAATCCAGATACCTATCCTTCCATAATAAACTTCAGAATCATCCCAACCCTCTCGTTTCTAACCTTGCTTCCTCTTCAATTCCTGATAACCCTCCGAGGCGTCTGAAAAAAAGATGGCCCCGTGATCTCCTAATGTAGTCATATCATTAGAGTGCTACCATTGGGTAGTTACTCAGCAAGTGTATTCATGTCATTATATCAATTATGTCCAAATTTACTTGATGTATTTATGTAATACAGTTGTGTCATAAAAAAAAAAAAAGCATAACAATCTGTAAGCGCAGCTTCTTGGATATTGTTTCTTACTTGTTTTCCAATCGATGTCAAGTAATGCATGAAAATTATACTTTCTTCTGTTTTACTTCAACGCAATAAAACAAATTAAAAGAATTTTTCTCCTTGGTCATGTTCATTAGAAACAATTATCCGTAGGGCAAAAAGTCCAGTCTACAACTTCATACATTTATTTATAGTATTTACCGGACATTTCACTTCACCTCTTCTTTTTCACTGCCATATACTGTTTGGTTTTCTTCTACCGGTTTCCATCTACAACGCCACACGTCATACTCCGGTTCCTGATGGAATTCACTCCTATCCAATGCGAGATGAAGCATAAATAGTTCCATTCTTTTCCTAGATGTAAAGAACATCTTTTTCAATCCTAAATCGAAGAAAACATACCTGTCTACTGATAAACGGAAACATAAAAAAAAACACAGCAAGGGCGGAATGGGATGCAGTGACCAGAGAAAAAACCTTAAAATATACAATCTTTTAGGAATTACTACACACCTAACATCCAGTAAATTGAAATAATATATATTTGTGAAACGCATTAATCAAATTATCATGAATTATTTATTAGTGATTTATTAGTTTTAAAAGTAGTAAGCAGATTATAATGGAAAAATAAAATCTATAGAACTGGTTCCCTTTTTTTACTTTCACTTACCTATATATGAAATATGTAGTAAGAGAAAGTATTGCGATCGTGAAAATTTTCGAATCCGAGTTTTCAACTGAAATACATGTTTTGAGGTCCCCTTAGTCCAAATAACAAAGTCTCGCAAAATGGTGCGTGTGTAAACAATCTAGCTCAAAAACTAAAAGACGTACGAAACTGATATTACGTGTTTAAGATAGCTATCTTAAACACGTAATAATATGCCTTACATGTGACAGAAACTTCTTCCTTAAAATCGGCTAACGGGCCACTTTATGTCAACGGTGAAACACAGTTTTACAATTTTCTCAAAAACTGCTCTAACGATTTTGATTAAACTCTATCATTGTATAATTAAGTGGTCTGTAATATCATTGAGGTCTTATCCCCATTAATGTCATTATGTTCATAAACTTCTTCCTCTTAAGTAGCTTTAATATGGTTTATTTTGAAATATTAACTCTTATTGACACTAACTATAAAAAATAGCTAAACATAACTTTTATAAGAATTCCATAATTAAATAAAGGAGAAAAAAAAATTCTTATCCAGGTCAAAAATGAATCTTCAGAAATAATATATTTTTGGAAAGGTGAGAATTTGAGAAAAAAAAATATCAAATTAAGAAAGTTGTAGAAGGTAAATGAGAGTGACAAAAAAAATATAAATACTAATTTCAGAAATCTAACATTATTTAACATAAATCACAAGTTTCCAAGGAATTTAATTGAAATTTTCTTACTAAATGTAAACTTTTAAATTTTTTTCGAAGTTTGAGAAAGAAGTATTTAAAATCCACTGAATCAAGCTAATGCCATTGTTTAAAATACTATTTCATTGTACTTGTGTGAAAGTAGAGTAATATAAAAACATTTCATGTATACGTTTATAACCTTAAATAAATTTACTGTAGTTTAACAACTACAGATATATTATATTTAAATAATTAGGTATCTATTGGACTTTTATTCCAAGAAATCATCATGTAATCTTTTAGAAAATGAAATTAGTGAATAATTTGATGAATTTTCACTTAGTGAAATCCCAACATTATCCCCTTACAATTAGTGTGACAACTTTTGACCTATCCATGGTAGGCATTGAAAATCTCGTAATTTCATTTTAGTAAACTTTACAATGGAAAATAACAGTTTAATAACTAATAATACTACAATCCATAATCATTTAGAGGTTAAATATTTAGATATACAATACTATCAAATCTCTCTAGGCATATATGAGCCTTTTGGTTGACAGAATGACGTAGCTCCAATTTCAACCTTGTTTATTATTAATTTTAGAGATGTTTCTTGTAGCAAAAGTTGTACCTTGAACTGAAGTGACATTATACACAACATAAAAAAAATCACAAGATGTAAATCATTCTTTTATACAAAACAGGTCAGTGTTAGTTAAAAAAAAAATTAGTCCTAAAAAGAAAATTACATAAATCAGTCTTTAACAAAAAAGTAACTAGTCGTCTCCTTATTTTTATAAAAATCATGTCTTCTTGGGGTGTCCTTTTTTTCTAAAATATGGCTATTTTCACATAGATTTTGAGCTTTCATTGATCAAGAATAGTGAAAGCTAGATCCTTATCATTTGCGGTGTAGTAAAAAAAAATTCTTCTAGGGAGAAGAAATGTAACTATGCTTCCCTATATGTTTCATTAATTGCGATATCAACAAGGAGGAAAGGTTTACTCTAATAGAGACATAAACATTTAATGGTGCTAGTGGACTAAAATCTAACTCCCTCAGAACAAAGTATTATTTTTTCTGCATATGTTACTCCAGAAGAGTAAGATCATTTTACCTAGAAATTATATCACCATAAGTTAGTGTTTCTCATTCTTCACAAGATGTCCCAGTTTACACATAAAATTATTCATCATTCTTTCGCAGCTTATTTTCAATGGAGTGATAAAAATGAATTTTGGTTTACAGACTGTATTTGTATAAACATTAATCGAAAAATTTGGTAATATATATCACACAAGTATAATTACAATTATAAAACAAAAATACAAATATGTTGCAAAAGATTAATGTTATCAAAAACAACAATATAGATACAATAACACAACATAAGCATAACATTTTTTAAAAAACCAGCAATTTACAGAATATTACAAGCGTAATAACAATTCAGTCTTAAAATTTATAATTTAAAATAGCGGGTAACTAGAAATATGTGGTTATTTAACCCGTGTTTCTAACATGGCAACTAGAATTGGGATTCGTAAACTGCCTAGCATAAACAACATAATTTTGAATTTCATTACAAATAACAACAAACCAATCGGTAGGAGGAGCTTGTTGAGATTCCGCAGATTCACATTCCAAAACACGAAATATTTCTGATGGATAATCAACTTCACTCTCCTCTTCTAAAGATGATATATTGGACAGAGATTCAAAATCATCAGGATTGGAATTCAAATCAATTCCAGATAGTGAGGTCACTTCTTCAATGGTTTCATAATCCTCGTTAGAATCAATCGTATAAGTATAGCTATCAAATTCATCTGAATCAGAGGAACTGGAACAACTGACAGAACGTTTCCTTTTAGTGTATGTATCATCAGTACTTTTTTTACTGGTATCACTAGTAGGTGGCATGTCTGAATCCACATCAACCTTTGTTGGTTCTTTAACAACAGCTCTTTCAGTAGTGGAACCTGTACAGCCACCACCGTCATCTTTACACTTTGGGTTACACTTATGTTTTGAATAAATATCATGGTCATTCACACTATTTGTTAACTTATCACTAACTTTCTCAGCATTATCTGGAACATCTTCCTCAGTTACTATGGATAGTGAATCACTGACAATTTTCTCTTTATTCTCAACAACTTTCTCAAATTTATTAATGGCTTTAGCAATAAACTTACCACTAACTACACCTGGAAGAGATTTTTTTGCTGGAAAATTCTTTCCTCGGGAATTTGTCAAAATTTCTGAATAAGTAGGCACTTTTTTTGGAGTAGATTTTCTCGGTGTTGATATTTTCTGCTGAACCTCTTTTTGTTGTTTATGTTGAGCAGATTCGACAAGATAATTTTGCAGTTCATCCTCTAATTCTTTTAAGGAAATAGTCTGAGTGACTTCCTTACTAATACTGCCACTTGTAGCAACTTCACTGCTTTGTTCTTGTTCAAAAAGATAAATACTTTCAACGTCCCTGTTTTGAATATATTCTTTTGCCGTCTGGAAATTGTTTTTCAATTTCTCTTCCAAGGTCTCTTCTTCACTAGAGGATTCAATAATGCCTTGAATCTTATCAAAATTACTAACATCTTCGGTCCAAAGATCGACTTTGCCTAATCGAGGAATAACATTCACATGCATTGATTTACCACCAATCATGCCTAGAAGCTTCCTGAACTTTTCCAACTCAATGCCATCTGATATAATTGAAATACAGATTCCTAAAAGAAATAAAATTCAATAAGTATCCATATTAATAATAGCTTTTACAACATTTTAATTAATAAAAAAATAAATGCAAGCAAATTCTAAGGAGTTGAACAGAGTACAGCACTCAAGAAAAAAATATAAAAAATAACGCCTTCCTAGTATTACTCATTATTACTGAAATATTTTCAGAAGTTAGTCAGAGGTGCGGTCAATATATAAAATACTATATTACATAATAGTATGTTTTATTGATCAATAATTTTTTTTTAATTTGCTGGACATTTTAAATCACTAAACAACAATTTCAAAACAAAATGTATGATATTTCATGATGGAAACAATACTGAGCTGAAATCCACTTTACAAATATTGTTACATATTTGTCAATACTTGAGCAAAATTATACCTAAATAATGAATTAGACTATAAGTATAGATTTTATCTGATTTTGGTAACTTCAAAATACTAGACTTTTTTTATTTAATTTATTAAATCTTAATGCTTCATTAGTTCCTGATCTTTTGATAGATGAGTATTTGTGCCGACAAATTTTATAAGACATAACAAGGTTAGAAGGAAGGTAGAATAAACTAATACAAACAGAAATGTACATATTTGTTTCTCAATCAATATTATCGATTATTATTTATTATTTATTTTCTATTGAATCGATATTATTATACATGCCTGTGAAGATTATCATTGATTACCGATGGTCAGAGGGCCAACACATAACATTTGTATAAAATCATGTCAGAATCAATTTTTAAGCAAAAACTGGAAGTACATTGTCACTCTGACTTATTTCCAATTAGAGAAACAACTATTCTTCCATTAATAAATTAATTTAAAAAATCATTTTTATTTTTATTAATGTAATTTTTATTAATCATTTTAATTTGTTATAATCATTCACTAACTAAAAAGATTGTCAGAGGAAAACTATGACTTCATAATGGCTACAACTTGGTGAATATTAGTACTTGAGTCCTAACAATCCAAAATTAAAAATAATTTACATGACTATTAAATATTTACCATTGTTTTTCAACAATGAACGTTTGTAATCACCTCCCAACCCACAAAAATTGAGGGTTTAACTTCCCAAGATCCAGCCATTTTTTATTTTTTTTTTAGGGGGGAGGTCTTCCCCTTCCTAGCCTTTTAGGCCATATAGTTTGGCTTTCCCGGGCCAGGGGAGAGAGGTGGGAGATTAATGCTGAAGTTAAAGCCCTCCCCTAGAATGGGAACGCAAATTGGAACTTATTTTATCATGATAAAGTCTGTTTATCAGGTTGCCGGGCTACGTGTGCTTTGCACATTCTAATTCAGGCTAATGACTGTTCAGCCACTCCACCACAAAAAGAATTTGAAAAACCCAGCCTTGTATGGAATGGAGTACAGAACTGTAGGCACTGGACCACCAACTTACTTAAATCCATCCATCCATCCATCATATGTAGCTTTTCTCTAAGACTACAGGGCCAATGTTTCTGAAAATTGAAATTAAAAAACTCAGAGATCATGTCAACAAGATCCTTGGAACTCCATATTACCTTTCACCAATTTGTTTCAAGATAGAGGCTATTCAGAAATTTTATAGACTAGTATATTAAAATTTAATATACTGTTTATGAAGATAAGTAAAAAATAAAGTGTTTTCAGTGATAGGGAAAGCTGTTTCAGAGTATTCGCCAGGCATTTTCCAAATATATAAGTAGTTTGGAATAATAAACCATTGTACAATAGCATGCATTTTCTTTTTCTTGTTTTTAATTTTGCAACTACTAAAATTTAATTACACTGATGAGCCAGAAATTATTCAGCAAAATCTTTTGACAAGGAGTGTCATGGAATTGTATAATAAAATTTTAATAAGAAAATAATTAATACCATAAAAAAAAAAAAGAAATGAGGCTCTCCAACTTATAAAACATAAAAGTGTTATGTTAGATCTGAACAAAGGTATAGCCAATACGTTGATAGTTAAGTTGATTACAATATAATTTAGTATTTAATTAGTTCTAACTTACAACTTATTTTCATAGAAATTTTTCTTTACCCTGTTCTGACCCACTCAAATTAAAAGTTAATAATGATTTCAGAGATATAAAAGCAATAATCACCATGAGAACCATATCTGCCAGCACGTCCCATTCTATGCAGGTAAGTGGCAGCATCCCAGGGAAGATCTACGTTGACCACCAAATTAATGCAAGAAGCATCAATCCCTCTTGCTGCTAAGTCTGTGGTAACAAGGATTCTACACCCACCAGATTTGAAAGTAGTAATAGCTTCTATTCTTGTATCCATATCCTGTTTTCCAGTAAGACATTTAGATGCAAAACCTTTCTTTTTTAGTAAATTGTTGATACTCTCTGCCCTAAACAAATTATTTAATCAGATTCGGCCTACAAGCCGAAATTATGTTTAATATAAAATGTTAAATTATGTTTAAGCAATAAAATGAAATTAAAGCAATTTTCTATTATTTTAATTAAACTATCTAATATTCCTGATTCCTTTCTTATATAAATGCAAAATCAATCACTGTATTTAGTAACAGAACCCATAACAAACAGAAAAAATTTATAATTTGATTCAGTTTAAGATGAAAATACTTATTTAGGTTTAACATTTTCTGTAATCTAAAGTTTTCAGTAATCTAACCACCTTTCTTTAACAACCCTTCCCTCATAGCTTGGCCCACAGAGATTGCACAGTAATATATATAACTGTCTGATCAGTAATCATGACATATATATCCAGAAGAAAAGATAATGATAATGAGAAGAAAGGACTTGAAGCATCCCCAGAACATGAACATAGTTGAAACTGCTCCTTTTAAAAAGTCTCTATTTTTAAATACCTTGGGAGCCGAATAAATGTGGCCTTGGATGAGGAGGAGGAGATCAAAACTTGTATTGTCACTGCCAATAAAGCATCATACTCAATCATGAATCTCCTAAAGAATCGATTGATCAGTCGCATAATGAAGATAAGACTACATAAAACATTAATAAGACACATTGCGAACTACCGATGTGAGACATGGGTAGTAAATGGTACAGCAGCAAACAAAATAGACATTTTTGAGCAGAAATTGTTAAGACGTGTGCTGGGTCCAATCAAAGATGGAGTGGTGCCATAAAAAAAAATGTAATTGGGTTGCCCGGAAAATAATGCAGAATTTTGGTTTAAAAAAAAAAAAAGATTTACAACTGTTTTATTTAATAAAAACAGTCTCCACTACTATCAATACATTTCTGCCAGGGTGTTGGCAACTTTTTTATTTCCTAGGAGTAGAATTTCCCATCTTTAGAATTGATTAACTCCAAAAAAGCATTTTCTAATTTCCTTTGTCCATTAAACTTGTTATCACGTAAGTAGTGGTCTAGGTGTCTAAACAAATGATAATCGATAGGCAAATGGTCAGGAGAGTAGGGTGGATGGGGCAGTTTCATATCCAAGGTTTCAACAGTTTTTGTGATGTCACACAAGAAACATGTGGCTGGGCATTGTCATGCAACAAAATGGGCCCCTTCCATTAGACCAAAGATGGCTTCATTATTACCAATTTCTGATGCATTGCATTAATTTGGTTATAATAAGATTCAGCATTGATGGTTGCTCCAGGATTTAAGAAGCTCTAGAGTATCAAACCAAATGAAACACACCAAACAGTAACCAACACCTTTTCTTGATGAGTTGGGTGCTTTGGAAAATGTTCTGCTGCTTCTCCTTTGTCCAGAACATCTACAGTCATCGTAAAGTATCCACTTTTCATCATAATAGGCTACGTGGGCTATTCTTAGAAAACTGACCATTGGTAATACACCCCAGTCTCAGTCCAATTCCGTTTCTGCTGATAACCTCAACGCTCACTTTGTCTCCTGTCCTCTTGCATCCACATCTCCCACGTCCAGTCTGGCTCCTATGTTCTCTTCCTTTAATCCTGATCACTTCTTTCTTTCCCATATTACACCAGATGAGCTCCTTAAATCCATTCAGAAGTCCCATACCAATGATTACGGTCCCGACAACATCCCAGTCAGACTGATTAAAGCCGCATTGCCATCCATTCTTCCGATCCTTTATCATATATACAATTATTCTCTTCAAAATGCTACCTTCCCTACATCCTGGAAAACCGCCCTAGTACGCCCATTGAAGAAGACTTCAAACCCATCAGTTCCTAATGATTTCCGACCGATTTCCCTCCTTTCAAACCTCTCAAAACCATTAGAGCGGTTAGTCCAATCCCAGCTATCCCATTTTTTAGAGGACAATAATCTCCTAAATCCCTACCAGTCTGGATTCAGGCCTGGTTATTCTACTCAGTCTGCCCTAATCAAAATTTCCCAAGACCTTCACACAGCCATAGATCAGCAGAAACTAACCATCCTTATTCTCCTAGACTTCTCCAAAGCTTTTGATTCAGTAGACCACAACATCCTCCTAACCAAACTTAAAAATATCTCTTTTTCTTCTAGTTCCCTTAATTGGTTCCAATCCTTCCTAACCGGTCGCTCCCAGTACGTTGTAATTCCTAATAACCCACCATCAGAATCTCTACCTCTGACCAGAGGCGTCCCACAAGGCTCTTCCTTATCCCCCACCCTTTTCTCCATCTATATAAATGACCTCCCATCCTCTATCCTGCACTGTCATTACCACCTGTATGCCGACGACATTCAAATTTACCTCTCCTTTAATCCGACAGATATCTCAGATGCCACTCAAAAACTTCAGGAAGATATTGACAGAATAAGTGCTTGGGCAAACCTCAATAGGCTCACTCTGAACGCCGAGAAGACAAAAGCCATCTTGATCGGATCCCCTTCACTCCTCAAATCCTCCCCAGTATCTCCCAATCTCTTCCTGAACAACTCACCTATCTTATTCTACACCACCGTTAAAAACCTAGGTGTTACTTTCGATCAATCCCTATCCTGGAAACCTCACATCTCCCAAATTTCCCGTCGCACTATCTCCACACTAAAACAGTTCAATCGTCTACGATATCTCCTTCCATATAAGTCCCGTCAACTCCTAGTTTCCTCCCTTGTTTTCCCCCACTTCGACTACGGCTGTATGGTGTACGGTGGACTCCCGGGAGATTCCGAGGCCAAACTTAAACGCCTAATGAATTGCGCACTACGATTTGTTTTCGGAATCTCAAGGGATACGCATATTACCCAGTATTACACTGAGTTGAGGTGGCTCTACCCATCCTATCGCCGTCAGTACTTCCTAGCCACCTTTCTGTACCAAATTATTAGAACCCATCGACCCTCCTACATTTTTCACAGCTTACAATTCAAATATTCCATCCAATCCCGTCCCACCAGATCTCGTACTTCCGACCTCTATCCTCCTCCTCACCGAACTGCTGCGTTTGACAAATCCTTTGCAATACAAGCCGCCTCCCTCTGGAATTCCATCCCACCTGATATTCGACACGCTCAATCAGTTTCCTCGTTTAAACCACTCCTCTTTAAGCACCTACTCCTTTCTCAATCCGAATGATTGTGAAATATATCTCAGAGAAATATCTGAGCACCACCAGAGAGTACCTCAATTTATTAAGGTTATTTTAGTTTCTCATACATATGTACAATTTACTTGTTCTTTTTTTTTCTCTTTTCTGTATTTTTATCGTAAGTCAACTTTCATTGTAAATATACAATTCAATTGTAGCCACACAGACATATAATCTGTATTCATATTTTGTTCTTAAGGGACAACAGTCCCAGAATAATAAAACATTTTTTTCATTTCATTTCATTTCATTTCATAAGTAATGATTCTGGGTCGTTTTTGTTTCAGCAAAGTGTAGAACAAATTTCATAATACTGGTTTTTTAGGTGGTCGTTTAATGTGTTTGGAACCCAATTTTTAAGCTTTTTTACCTTTCCAGTCATCTCAAGGTGGTCATCGATGGTCAATTTGCTACCGTCAAGTTTCCCTGAAAGTTCTCCGACAGTTGCTCTGGAATTTTCTTTCACCAGAACCCATAGAACATTTTCATCAATGGAGGAATTCTTTCCACGACCTTCTTTGTCTATAAGGCTGAATTCTCAATCCCAAATTTTTTTGAAACACCGTTCATTTTTATGACTGTCTGGGGCCCATTCCGGCCGAGTTTAAATTCATAAAACAAAATTATACGAAAATCACAGTTGTAAAAATACAACAGTTGAGATGGCTAGGCCACCTACTAAGAATGGGCAATGACAGGACAGCTAAAAAGCTTTATTTTGGCCTTCCATAGAGTGAGTTTGTGGAATTGTGGAAGGCCATGAAAAAGATGCCCTTTCACTGTGCAGGAGACCGAAAAGACCAAGGACCACCTAATGCATCTATTCTGCCTTTGTAAAAGAAGATTCAGAAGAAAAGAGAATGTATCAGTATTGTATTAATTTTTTCATGAGCAGGATGGATTTGGAATATTAACCATCTAATAGGAGCTTAATAATTTAAGTGCTATCTCATTGTTCCAAAATAATTGCTTCAGAGGGTGTTTGGATTACAGAAAAGTTTCTTTCATATTAAATAAATAAATTGTTAAAAATAGAATTAGAAAGCAAGGAACGAGGTAAAATTTAGAAAATAGACAGATATGATGCAATTCAAGAGTTTCAGTGTGTTGGATGCTATGATATTTTCAAGTATACCTGAAGCTAATTTAATGGTAGTCGATGTTTTGTAAAATTTTAAATAATTCAAGAAAGACAAAACACCAAACAATTGTAAAACAATAATATTGAAATCAAAGTGGTACATACCTAGTGGCATAGTTCATAAAAACACAACACTGATCAAAAGATACAGTTTCAAGGATGTTTATCAAATCTTTTTCTTTAATAGCCATTCTTGCAGCGAAGTCAGGATGATCACGAGAAATCAACAACATTTGCTTAAGGCCTAGAAGTACTGGGGTCGGTCCACCACTTGGAGTAACATGCTGACCATCTCTCATATATTTTTTTGTGAATTCCAATAACTCAGGAGGGTATGTGGCACTTAGGGCAAGGACCTGCTTACTTTCTCCACAGTTGTTAAAAATGAAGCTAAAAAGAAAAACAAATCTAATAGAAAACAATTTATTAATACCCATAAAATTAAAAAGTACTAGATCAAGTTGTAGAAATATCCCTTATATTAAGTTGAGAGAGCCTCTGATAATAGCAATAGATTTCTAACATTTTCTATTAATAATAAATAACTGCGTGTATAAACTTGTCCCGTATGCTTAAGTTGCATTACAAACCGAATATCGACTAAACCACAATTTTATGTTTCTGAATGACAATAATCACAATTCCTAATACTTTTTCGTTTTAATAAGCACAATAACTTTAAAAATAAGGTACTAGTTCACAAATGGTCTGCATTTATGTGTATTTTAAAATTGATTTGGTCTCAATTGTCCATGGAATGCTGAAAACTGTCGAATGTTGCCAACTTTCATAATGACGGCTCTTGCCTCTGCTACTTATTATTATTTTGAAAAACCCGCGTATTCTCACTAACTTTATGTTAACTAGAATTGGGGAAATCCATTCCCTCATTCATTTGAAATAAGAGAGGTCAGAAAATTTTTCACTTATTTCCCTTTACTCAAGCTCGCTTAAAGAAGTTTTAACTTCAGTTATTCAATTTTTCTTTTGAAAATTTATTTTTACTATTATAGGCATGGCATTCATAAATTACCAGAGAGATGGGAAAATTTACAGCTGACAGTTTTCGGAAGAAAATTCCGGTTTCATTATTTACTACTTAGAAACCTGGTATACTGTAAAATAACATTCAGCGATATGATAATCATTTAAGGTTTTTATCAATCACTATTTTTTTTTTCACAGCTGAATAATAAATTATTAAGCTCCATTAAGGGCACGTGATGTGACCTAAACATCAAATGAAATTCAGTTCACACTGAATAATTATACATGGTTAAGGCTATACAACTAATTAATAAGCAGGAAAGTTCTATTCTTTCCGATAAAACCAGGTAATTTCAGTATAGCATGAACAAGCTTGACCAAAGTGATTGAGAACCATGCCTAAATCTTGGGGATCACTGGTGAACTGGTACCAAAAATAATTCTGAAGCTAGTAATGCAATTAAAACAAGCTACTAAATTGAGAAAACAAATGAAAAATTAAAACAACATGTAAATACAAACTTGATAATGCATGAAAAATGCATTTCATAGTACCTTACTACTAAAAAATTCAAAACGGAATATATAAATAAACCTTTATATATGTACTTAATTTTTTTACATAAGATTATTCCAATAATTACATTATTTTAGTAAATTAATCTATCAAAGGAGTTGTGCTCGGTTAGCTTCGGCATTCCAGGAATTAAATAATCATGAGATCTTGAATGAGTTGTGATTTAGATGTGAGTATTACAAGTCATTAGATGTGAGTATTACCAGTCATTAGATGTGAGTATTACCACTCATTAGATGTGAGGGTACTAGTTCACAACAGTTCCGCACACATTACACATTTCACAATCACTTTGATCGCACTTGTTCATGGAATCCCGAAAACAGCCGAATGTTGCAGTCTTTCAGCTATTGCCCCATAACACAATCCCTTTTCATGCATTTTTGAAAAAAAAAAAAGTATTCCCTTCATGGAACTTTCTAATTAACGAATTGTGTATTTACTAATTAGTTAATTATTAATTTTTATTATAGCGGTTATTACTGTACTGTGAAAGAAAAAGAATAAAATATGTTGATTTGTTTCTTCAAGGCCTTTTAAAAAAAATGTTTTCATTAATAACATTTTTATTGACACGAGCTTACATGTAGTGGCTGTAAATATGCATATACTGTATATTATTTTTTATAACTGTGTATAAAAGATTTTTTTATCATTTGAATAATAAATAATTTGAAGTTATCCATTATCTTTTCATTTGATATTCGAGTCTTTCAATAGAAGTTGGAATAATTGAATTTATAATTTATTTTAGCAAGCCTTTTTTAGAATTGTGCAATCGTCTATCTAGTTTATGTAATTTTTTAGATTTCTAATGATACGAGGGTCCACTATCTTCTGGGGGTGAAGGAGGCGCTTTGTATGCATATACTGTCTGATTTGAGATTGAGCATCAAGTTTATGCAACTTTTCTTTACAAATTCTTAGATATACGGATCCTCTATTTTCTAGCCATCGGAGGTTTTTATGAATATACTGTCGGATTTAAAATTGTTCGTCGATTTTTTGTAAATATTTGGATTTCTTAGATATAAGAGTCCACTATTAAGTTGTCAAGGACGCTTTTTATGAAAATGTCATATTAAAGATTGCGCGAGAAAAGTATACAACACTGATAAATAAAATGTATCTATCAATCGTTATATAGATGAATATTTATTCCAAAAATGTCCAATCCCAACGAGACTCGTAGATTTGCCAGTTAGTTAGTTGTTAACTTAAAATTTATTTTTTCGTTTTAATCGCTATTATTTTTATTGAAGGAATTAGCTGTGTGATTATTGTTATTCGCAGTTATTTTTCTTGGTAATCCGAAAATGGGGATTATTGTAGTCATTGATATAAAAAAAAGTGTTTCATTTTCTAGAAAGGAATTAACGTATTGGGGAAACAACTGACGAAGAATATCATATAATTCCAAGATAATGAATAATGGAAATCATCAATAAGAAAAATAAAATAGTGAAATAGCATTCAGAGATGTAATAATTAAAGCTTTTTATCTATTACAATTTCTTTTTTACAGATATATAATATATGTACAAGTTCAATTCAGGTTTCATGATGTAAAAGCCTTAATTTGGAATGTAAGTCGGCTCCTGCTATAGAACTGAACTTGGTTAAGGTTATAGAAGTACTTAAATGGCGGGAAAGTTAATAGTAACTCGCCCAAGAGATCGGTCGCCTTCGTTCACTTTCGGATAAACCCGAACGCATTTGGGATTCCATGAACAAGTGTGACCGAAGTGATTGTGAACCATGCGTAATCCGTGCGGAACTCTTGTGAACTAGTACCAATGTGAGTACTATTTCAATAGACGTTGACATGGTTGACAGATGGGTCAAACACCTAACAACTATCAATTTCATCTGTAGTATGATCTTGACCAATCTATCAACCAGACATGACAACTGCGAACTAATGCCCAAAAATAAGAACATAACAAAAATGAAAAGTTAAAGGCAAACTATTAGAAAAACAAAACAATTAATGTCACATTATGATATAATATGATCAAGTAACAGTTAACTTATAAATATAGTTATACATGACATACTTCAAATCATGTTGATAATCATAGTCTTTTTCAAACAGTTTATCAGCTTCATCAAGCACAAATAACCTAACTGCTTTTGAATCCAGAATCTTTAGTTCAATCAGGTGCCTTATTCTACCTGGCGAGCCGACAGCAATATGGCATCCCTTCATTACAGGTTTATCACTATTTGTAGATCGCCCACCAACAAATGTACCAACCTTCAAACCTAAACAAAAGTTAAAACTAAACGGTTAGTTTCACTTGACAAAAACTAATCCCAAACAATAATTCTTACAGTTATCACTAACCTTTCAAAGAGCTTCCAATACAATTTATGACATCAGTTATTTGCAAAGCTATCTCTCTTGTAGGAGCTACAATAATGACCTGAACTCTATTAATGTTTAAACTGATAGATTCCAAAGCAGTAATGGCAAATACCAGAGTTTTACCAGTGCCTGACTTAGCCTGTACAATGAGATCTACAGTATGAAAATAAATTTAAATAGAAAATCTATAAATAGATAAAATTAAGTAAAATAGCTGAATGAATTATTTCTAAATAATAAAGTACCCAAGCCACATCTTGCTAAAGGAATCGCAGCAAGTTGAATTGGTGATGGCTTTTTGAAACCGGCTGAATTAAGTCCTTTTAAAATGAAATCCGGTAACAACATAGTAGAAAACGTAACACCATCTTCTATCGCTATATCTTCGGTCCTTTCTTTCTTTTCTATATCGTGAGCTACCATACTTGCCTAATTCTTAAATTTTAACCAACTAATCTAACAATAACAATACAAAACCCTGGCAAGAGATTTCAAAACATGGCGGACATTTGCACGATTCGTTGACAACACTGATGTATTGTAATCAGAATTAAAAATATATTTATAAATAGTTATTTGATAATCAATATAAAATTAAATAATAAAAACAATTTGATAAGTCGTTTGGAAATATTTTTCTGCATTATCAGATGAATTTCAGGAGGTTCTTTATATATTACAAATGTGTAACAACTCAAAACCAAATGAGGGGAGGGACAACTATTGTGGAAACGGACAGTTAATTTTAATTTTGTGGTTTCGGCAATATAGGGAAAATAGAGAAATATTTTACTGTAGTAGAACTATCCAAGTTTACTCTATATAAGGCATTAATCCGATCTGTTCTTACCTATGAACCAACCAACCTCACAGACATGAACCATTTTCCAAATTGACGTAATGATTTTTGAACGAAAATTCTTGTGGTGTATTATTGGCCAATTAAGTATTGCCCAGAGATGTAGGATTAGGAAGAACCGAGAGCTATACAAAATCTACAAGTAAATCTATAACTATGATACACAGCAACCACCAAGACCTATTTTTTGTCCAATTTCATGAAAAAAATATATTCAAGCTGTCCTATCCTACAGTAGCCACTTGTCCTCCTTCCATTACTTAGAATCATTTAGTTTCCCATTGAGTTAATTTCTGTGCTTTGGAATTCATCATTCATTATTTTTTTCCATTGGAATTTTTAATATGAAGTTTTCATCTACCAAACTCCTGATTCAGCAAGTCTCTCCATCTCTGCCGGTCCATCGCATCCTCATCCCGCAGTCTCCTACCAGCCATACTCTTCACCACTCTATCCTTCCATCTAACGGAAGGTTTTTCCTCTTCTTCTTCTACCCTCTGCCTCCAAATCCATAATTATCTTTGGTATTCTATCATTACCAATCGTCACATGACCATACATGTCACATGACGACGTTACCAGACATGACCACATGACCCTCGATATCCTAGCTGAAAATTGTCCTTGATTTTTACAGAGGTGCCATGTCTCCGAACCATATAGCATTAAGCTTTCTACAAAAGTTTTGTATATTAGTTTTTTTGTTTTTATTAAAATGTTGCTGTTCCAGAGTAAACAGTTAAGTATCAATCATTACAAAACATTATTGGCTGTGTAATTACCTTCACAGCCTTTTAATATAAGGTAGTAAAACCATGTGTATGTGTGAGTTTACTGACTTCACTCCGCACCAGTGGCGGATCCAGGAATTTTCTCAGGGAGAGGGGGGCCACACCTCTGTACCAGGTGCTTCCCCCACCCCTATACGTTCCCCCACCACTACCCATCTCCCCCCACTCCTTACCTGAGTTTAGCCGCTCAAAAGTCTTCTTTAAACTCTATTTTTATTTAAGGTCAATTTTGTCTAGTTTACAGTAAAGCAATCGTAAATCACTTAAATTAAATAGTTTTTTGTTATCAGTTCCAATTCAAGAAAAAACATAGCTTACATGAAAAATCACAAAACCATTGTTTATATATACTTGTTTGTATTTATTGAGTTCTGCTATCACTCTTTTAAATATTTCTCTTTACGTACAAGATACCCTGCATATGGGTTTAAACATGTAAAAAACTGAATTGCTGACACGGGTCACCAAGAGAAAACTTTTGCAGCCAAAAAATCCTGATTTATCTGATCTATTTTTTTCATGTATTACTACTTAACAGTGCATTAAAGCGAAAAAAAGTATTCTTTGAGAAATTAAAGAACGTCAAATTGTGCGTCGAACGAGTACCTAAACTTAATAATTTGATTAAGTGTTATGATCAATAACCACGGTCAATGAACGCTAATTTTTACCGACATGGTCAATATCTAAGAAATATTACAATAAATGGCCCTGCAGTTTGGATATGAGTTCTCAAAGAACTAAAATTCTGATCATAATCAGATTCCGATCAAATCGGAAACCAAATAATCAGTATCTTGCCTCATGAGGACGTTCCCAACAGCATCTATTTTAAGAAAAGGACAGAACTTTCTAATGAGAAACGTAAAGTTATTATTGTGACCAGTATTCTTATGGGTTCTTCAAAGAGACTATAGTTGCTTGAGGCTGCAATGCATCCAGATCTATTGGAACTGAATAAAAACTGAGTCCGAGAGAAAATCCGTCTTTTGTTGTGCTCGAATAAAAGGTTGTTCGAAAGAATAAATGAAGTTAATATTTTTTAAATAAATTTTCCTCCATCAAGTCTTTCACCTGCGAGATGTATTTCAGTTCGGAGTCAATAGCTACAAAGTGCAACAGGAGCACAAGCCTTCCAACTCATAGCGGCCCAAAAATTACATCACTCTTTTCTTTAAATGGCTCTTTTTTGTCACTTTTTAGGATTTTTTTTCCACAATCCAAGGGAAGGCGCGCCCTCTGGCAGAATTCGCTAGTGCTGGTCACGATAATAATTTTTTTTTTATATTACATTAGGATATTCATCGTCTATGAGGATGAATTTTCTCTATATTCTCCTTTTCTTTAAATGGCTGCTTTTTGGATTTTTTTCTAGCTCCGAGGGGGGAGGAGCGCTCGCACACACGTCGTTCGTTCTGGAATATTTATTTCAAAATCATCATTCGCTTTATACAAATTAGCAAGGAATCCATTTTCTGTAAGTTTTACGAATTTCTAACCTCTTCCATCTGAAAGGACTTTAAAATGGTTGATTGTAGAAAAAACTAAACAAAGAAAAATGTCAACAATTTTCATACAGCGATCTTTTCAAAAGCGGACGGCTTTTTAAAAAATTTGACGGCTATGCATCCAAAAGTCGTAAATTTACCATTTTTTAGATGAGCCACATCTGAGATAAACCTAAAATTCTTGTCGAAAGACTCTAAATTAATATGGTTGACTTGGGATGCTTATCACATGTTTATGTTTTAAAAAATAAAATAATGTTATTTATGATAATCTTCGACGAACTAAAAATCTATTGAAAAAATTAAATGCAGAAAAGTAGTTCTATGATCCCTTGGGTATCTCGATTAATAATACAGAACGAAACTTTTTGATATTTTTAATATGTAAAAAAAATATCCATATATGACTTCTCTACTCTCATTAATAGACTTCTATACTCATAGTAATTGAGGGAGCTAAATACCAAGACTCTTCTGCACCTAAGAAATAAGTCTTGAGCGAGTGCAATAATGGATTAATATAAGTTCAGGAATAGCGGTGTCTTATTTTTTATCTATCAAACTGGGGAGAGATTTTTTAGTGTGACAAGCTAACAGTCCGTAGTACAGACACTTTTTCATCAAATTATTAACATCCGCCTGAAACGTCATAAATAGCTTCATCTCATCGCGACGTACAACTATTATATTAACGAAAATTCTTGGAATTGTGTCGTTTTCTATCTGGAGATTGGCATATTAGGTACTAAACCTCCTAAATACCCATTTGCTTTCCAGTTCTATCTTAAGATAATTTTAGCTCAAAATTTGAGAAAAAAGTTGGCCTCCAAAAATATTGAGCCGGTTGCCGTGACCTACACTTCCAAAATGTTAAAATAACATCGTTACATAGGCCAAACAGGCCAATATTTTTGTAGGAAATCTTTTTTATTGATTTTATGGTCCAATTATCTTACGATCCAAATGAAAAATAAATGGGTATTAACGAGTTTTTAGTACCTAATTAAATAGAGAAACTTTACTGACTTCCAAATTGAAAACACCCCAATTCCAACTGTTTTCGTAAATAAAAAATTTGTAGGTTACGGTGAGATTAAGCTTTTCACGAGGTTTCAGGCGGATGTTAATAATTTGATAAAAATGGGTCTGTAACCCGGACTATAATTACTTATTTTATCATTAGTGTATGTTGAATGGACTATCTTTATAATATTATATTTTATATACGAATTATATACATATATATATATATATATATATATATATATATATATATATATATATATATATATATATATATATATATATATATATATATATATACGAACATGTTTCGCTGATATCTGTAGTACGTGAATTGCATTAGAGAGAAGGAAAGCTATCTAACGTGAGAGATCTCACTGGGGTTTAGTTAAGTCTTTAATCCATATTCAGTTAGAAATAATAAAATCAAATATATCACAATTTTTCAGAAATTTGTTCATATTTGATCCCATTTTATTTTATATTATTTGGAAGAGAGAGCTGCTGCCACACATCCCTTGAATTAGCCCAAGACAAAATCTCATTAATATAACTAGATTCCAAGAATTTTTATAAAAATTATAAGTAACTCCCGCATAGGCGAGGGTGGATATAAAATAAATAAAAGTAACTGTACTGTGAAGAGAAAGTTGGGATTTCCATTTTCGGGGTTACATTATTCCAAAAATTGAATATTTTTTTAACGACTTATGCAAAAATAAGTTAAGGGAAATTTGGGAACAGTTTCTCTATGAAACGAGAAGTTAGTTACCAACGAAACAAAAAATAAATTATAATTTTGGAGTACGGGTCTTTAGTATCAGTAATCTGGCTGAGTGAGAGACGCTGGGATCTCCTAGCGTCTTGATTTTCATTCTACAAGTGGGGAAAAAGACTTGGTTCGAGAGTGTATATATATATATATATATATATATATATATATATATATATATATATATATATATATATATATATATATATATATATATATATATATATATATATATATATATATATAGTTCTCTTGAGTGAATGAATTTTTTAAATATTGTATAAAAGTACGTTTTTATTTTTATTAGTTTAGTTTCCTTTTGTCTATATACATTTACTGTTAGTGTTATTCTTTTACTGTTTAATTTATTTTTATTTATTGTATGAATGGGTTACTCCGTTACTATTACTAGTGTCCTTAAATGTGATATATAATTAAACGACAAAATATAATATTACTCGATAAAGAACTGTATTTATAAAAAAAAATTTGGAGTACTATTGGCCTCCATGGTGTGAAATTCTCCCAATTTAAGGTGCTTTTGAACATATCGATTTAGTATTAGACAATGGCGGATCTACGGGGGGTTTTGGGGCTGAAGCCCCCTCCCCCAAAATGTTAAAATATAACCATATTTTATGGGAAAAAATATCTCTTAAAGTATTATTGTTCGTGTAATTACATTTAAAAGGACTTTAGGAATCACTTAAACACCATTTCATATAGGTAGTTAGTTTCTTTCTTATATTCCAAAGTAATTATCGTTATTTTTAAGGAAAAAAATCTTTCGGGCTGAAGCCCCTCCTAAAATTAAATCCTGGATCCGCTAGTGGTATTAGAGTACCTAAAAATGTATAGTAACTATTTTTCATTTTTATTTTCAACCAGTAATTTATAGCGCATACATCTGACCCACAAACACCAATTGATATTCTCGATCGATGTAATAATCGATGTAATAATGTAATAATAACCATGTAATAACCATATAATATTCTCTTCTTAATCTCCTTCATGGAGATAAATAGTTTCGCTTTAGGGATAATATATTGTTCCTCGGGATAATATATTATGATAATATGAATTCTTACCTTTTCTTCCCGTTTACAGTCATTTTGTCTTGCCTCTATATAGAAGAGAACATGGATTCGGTCTTATTTCTCCGACTTCCAACAAACAATATTCAGAAAGATGTGGAAGAGGTACTTTTTTTAATATTCCGAATTATGTGAGGAATTGGATTTTACTTCTTGTTACAATCTGTTAATATTTTAGGTATATACTTCGACACCAATAAGATATTAAAATTAAAGCTATTAGTCTGCATAAGATAATAACAATAAGGTTATTAACTAATCTTTTACAAGAATGAATCTCCTGCTTATGTGGTATGCCTATTCAAATTGTCCAAATCGCGGAGTAGAAAGTTCATCAGAGAATAATCACTGGAAAATCAGAAATCGCAAATACCCTCACGAAACATTGTTGACTTGGTCCTTATCCATTATATTTACTTATTCATTTTAGTTCGTTGTTTGTAAATATATTTATATAATCTTTTCTGATTTTCCAACGTGACTGAACGGGTGTCTGTCAGTACTTCGGAACAAAAATATCCACAACATCGAAATTTGAGTAAAATATAGAAAGGAAATCAGAGTCGCATGGTTATTAATTGGTAAAGATACCGATTATTGAGACTGCAAACTTTTATTATTAATGTATATTTTGCCATGATTTCTTTGGTGTAATTCACTTAAATTTAGAAGTAGCACTTAAATTTAGTGGACATTTCCCATTATCGTTCCAAGGTAGATACAATAGTTTTCCCAGTACAACACGTGTGTATATCACAAAAATACTAAAATAAAAACAATTTTAGTCATTTTTAATTAAGCTTGTAATATAAGAAAAAAATTAAGTACAATAAAATATATGTTAACGCCACAGCGTTAATTTATTTTATTTTTTATTTTCAACAATAATTTGGATAATTGTTATTTTGTAAAATGGAAACAATTAATAATTATATATATTCTTAGCTTATTTTGTTTATATTCAATAGGTCAATAGTTTACACTTAAATTGTTATCGATTGTAGCCCTATCTATAAACAAGTGCTAGGTTCAAGTCCTAAGGCGGCAGAATTGACAATAGAGTTTGTATCCGTCCATTACTGAGGTGAGTACTGCTTCACTTCGCATATAGATTATCGTTATTTTCATTTTAGAAGTTAATATTTTATTTTTCAATTGATACAATTGTAAATTTGATTTCATTTTATTTTTTATGTTTTCATTATTAGTAAGTGTAAATGTTTCAAAATACAGTCCACTTTCTTTTAAATTACAATCGACTTAATTTGAATAATAGTTAGGCTTCATTAGGCTAAGATGGAGCTTAACAATATATTTTCTTTAGATATTAAGAAATAATATTTATAATTAGACTATAGAAAATTATTCATTTTTTTAAACTTAGCATATTTATTTTTACAATATCCAACAGTGTTGACACTCTCAGACAGATCATAAAAAAAATAATAACAATAATAAATAAATTATATATATATATATATATATATATATATATATATATATATATATATATATTTACTTTATTCTATAACAAACAAAAACTCTTCGACACATCCTATAACTCAAAATGTTCATTTTGAAATATATATAGTAAGAGAGTTATTATTAATTAGAGGCGATAACTCAAATTTATAAATTATTTTATCACTTCAGTGCTATCTTGAAAGTAGTAATCTTCGAAAGGTGAGCTGGATTCACAGAAATACAATTTTAAAAACAAATTTCTTGAGAAACATGTTCAGCAATAAGCGGGCTGGATAGGTATACTGTCTCCGACGTTTTTCCTTATCCAAGACAGCACCGGGCAAACGTAGGTGAATGAGCTCACTGTTCCCGGCTTGTCACAACCAAAAGTTTTGTGAGTTCTTGTAGAGAAGAGGTCGCAACGTTGGCCAGGGTAGGTATGTGATGCTAATCCTACCTGCTTATCGTCACAAATCAACGGTCCTCCTAAAATGCCGTAAAATATTCTTTAGACAAAAATAAATGGAGTTATTTAAAATAAATATTTTTAATTGATAGATTTTTTTTAAAAAATTGAAATTTATTATTTATTCATGCATTGACTATTGTAATTTTTAAAGTACCGGGCAAAAATTACCAATAGGTGAAGAACCCAAACATTTCTAAATAAATAATTAACTGTTTGTATGATGAAAGATTTAGTACATAATAATCTATCAGCGTAATGACGCATGGAAAAGATAGACCTATAAAGAGATGCTTACAGAAACTGGATAAATTTCATGATATGGAGGCACAGAGGTTAAGATGGGTGGGATATGAAGGTCGGAGCAATCCATCTGGAAGCCTCTACATGACAGTGAATGGCTCAATAGTAGGGATGGTTAGATCACGTGGAAGGCCAATAATCAGATGAATAATCAAATCAACAATGGTGTAACAGAACTGCATCCAGATAACTAAAAAGAAATAGCCCAAGATAGGCAAATATGGAATAGGCTTATTAAAGCAACAAAAGATCTTATAAGGTCTGCAATGCCAACAGAAAAAAATCTGGTGCGGTGTGCGCATCAAACAACTTTATAAATAATAACATACTACTGACATAATATCGCCTTACAAAATTAAAAGCTGAGCACATTAGGCCAAATTAGGCCTTCCTGAATCCGGAGGTCTTCGTGGGACTGGTCCTCTTTTTCTTCTGCGGACTTTAGGTTGAAGTGAGCTGGACCCACCGTCGTCTTTCGGCCATTTATGAACTCTTTGAACCGCGGGAATTTTTCTTCACTCACCAACTGAGGAAACTCCTCCTCAGTGAGAATGTAAACTCCCGTGGTTCTCATTAACCTGTCTCATAATACGTCGAAAGCAGTGCAGGCCGTGACCATATGCTCAACAGTCTCCGGAACAGGACAAGCGGGGCAGTGGAGATCTATATCCTGTCCGAGGCCATAAAGTTTGCTCTAAACCCCCATACCCCGTGAGAAATTTGCCGGGATTCAACGGTGGGGAAGTATTTTCCTAAGTTACTGCCTTTCGGAGTCGCACCCACCGTCTGCTCCAATCTTAAATTGTTTCCTCCCGAATAATCTTTTTCCATTTATTTGAGTTCTCAATAATCATCATCCGTAGGTTCTCCGACAGACCTGTTGAGCCCTCCCTCTTGTAATCGCACCTGATCACTTCTTCTCGCAGAAGGATGTCGAGAGGCACCACCCCCGCTAAGACCTGCACTGCTTCGTGCGATGTAGACCTATATGCTCTGGTGGCCCGAAGAGCAGTCCTCTGATCGATGCTAGCCTATTTCTTTGTCTGAGTGTGAGGTCCGGAACCAGAAGAGAGACGCATACCTCAGGACACCTTTATAAATAGTGATAGTGGTTGGATGCCTGAGACCCCAAAATGCGCTCCCCACGCGACTTAGATTTTTCATTGCTAAGGCCACCCTTCCTGTCAGATATTCCATGAGTGGCGTCATATTCAGGCCAACACCTAACCTAACTCCTAGGTAGATTACCACCTCATTTGGACGTATCCTCTGGCCTTCTATGTACATCGTCATAGGGTGTGTCCTATTAGTCTTTTCCTTAAGGATGATGGCTTGAGTCTTTTCAGCAGCCATCCTCATCTTTTTCCCCACACACCACCTAGCGACTAGGCCGGGGCATCGCTCTGCTTCTCTCTTGACTCCAGCTTTGCTGTTAGAGGCCACCACAGCAGCTAGGTCGTTAACGTAGGCAGTGGCAGGAAACCGCTCTTCCTCTAATACTCTCATTAACTCATCAAAGACTAGCTTCAATAGAGCAGGACCAAGCACTGATCAATGAGAGCAACCTTTCTCTATGAAAGCTTCTACGTCGTAGTAATTGCCTCTAATCTTCACACTCCTGTCCTGGAGGTAACTTCTTACTAGAGTGTATATGTTTTTTTTTATAGAAAGAAAACTTTATTCTGGGACAAGGTCCCTTATGAATAACAGATATGAACAAAAAATAAAAACTACATCTGGCCAAAAATTACATTAGTCAATGTTAAAGAATATATAGTATCTTCAGTAAAATTAAATTAAAACAAGTAGAAATAACACCATTTTGAAAAGAAAAAAAAAAACATTATTTAAATGAAAAGAGAACAAAATAAAATAAACATGGGTTGATTTTTAAAATTAAAAACTATCAATTTTTACAACCATTCACCTCAGTCAAAATCTGTTTCGTAGTATTTATTTTATTGTATAACGTCATTTTGGGATGTGAGAAGGAATTGGTAAAGATGATACTTAAATGAGGACAAGGAAGAGGCATGGCGGATTTCAGAAGGCAAGGAATTCCAGAAGGCAGTGGATAGGCAATATAGGAATATTCAAACGTCTTAGTTCTATGGGAAGGGATATAAAGGTCGGAAACACGGGATCTTGTTTTCTGGTAGTGGACCACGGGTTTAAACTGTAGATGTAGGAAGGGTGTCGGGTGTTGATCGTTTGGAATAGGAAAGATCCAAGGAAATATTGTCTGCGGAAAGAAGGGAAGAGCCACTTTAACTCTTCGTAAAGGTGGGACACATGAGACCGCCTCGATGTACCGAAGACAAATCTTAATCACGTATTCATGAGTCGCTTCAATCTATCCTCGAGTACCATCGGGATGCCTCCGTATACCACACAGCTTGCGGAAGGATTGTGGGAGTAGGTGGCGGGAGCGATGAAATAGCTTAAGGGTACCTATTGACTTACGGGAGATGAGGGCGATATGGAGTTTCCGGGAGAGGTTTTCATCTATGGTGATTCCTAGGTTTTTAACGGAGGAGCTGAATGTGATAGGATGATCCTTGATGACTAAAGGAGGAAGAAAGGAAATGGATTTAAGAATAGAATTGGAACCTATAATAATGGCCTGAGTTTTCGTCGCGTTTAGATTTAAATTATTCAGACTTGCCCAGGCACTGATCCTATCTAGGTCTGCCTGAATATTGGCAAAGCGACTAGTAGCTCAGAAGGATGGAAGGAAAAATAGATTTGGGAGTCTTCAGCGTATAAATGATGTGAATAGTGGTAGATGGATTTGGAAAGATCATTTATGTAGAAATTAAAAAGGAGAGGGGAAATGCTCGAACCTTGGGCCACTCCTAAGGACAGTGTAAGGAAGGAAGATAGGGGCTGGTTTGGAATGCTGACTGCTTGAGTTCTTTCGGATAGGAAAGACAGCAACCAGAGGATAGAGCTGTTGGAGAAGGATAGAGATTTTAATTTAGTGTAGAGTATAGAGTGGTCTAAGGAGTCAAAAGCTTTGGAAAAGTCGAGAAGTATTAACACAGTTAACATTTTGTCGTCCATTGCGGTATGTAAGTCATTGGTAATTTTTAGTAGGGCGGATTGTGTGGAGAAGCCAGGTCGAAAATCAGATTGGAGAGGATCAAGTAGTTTTGAGTTTTCAAGGAATTTAGAGATTTGGGATTGAACTATTCTTTCCAGAGGTTTAGAAAGGTTAGAAAGAATGGAGATTGGGCGGTAGTCTTTAGGAGAAGTTATGTTACTGGGAGCATCCACCTCTGCAGCTGTTGGAGCACGCTAGGCCACCATACGCTGTTGAAGGCGAAGGATATATCGACAATGAGCAACATGACATACCGCTCCGCCCTCTCCTCAACATCTCTGCCCATTCTCAGGAGGGCATCAGCGGTTCCTCTGCCTCTTGTTGATCCATATTGTCTGGGGGGGAGTGGCCGAATGGGCTAAAACATGTGCACTGCACCGTGAGTTGCCTGGCAACCGGATAAGAGATTTGAGAAGATTAAAAAAAAAAAGTATGAGTTCGCATTCCGGTGCGGGAGGGGAATTTAAATTCCCTTCCCTCACCCTTCGGCCCAGAAAAATCCCATATAGCCTAAAAGGCTTGTAGGGAAGAAAAAAAAAAAAAAAAAGATCCATATTGCCGTGGATGACCTCCTCTAGCGAAAACAGGTCGTAAACTAGTCATCATGAGGTTGTCCAGGACCTTGCTAATCACAGGGAGGAGACATATCTGAACCAGTTGGGTATACCGTGGTGTGTCTCACAAAATCATCATTTTCGCTGTCCTGGGTTGGATCATCTCTGTGGTGTATTGCTTCAATGAAAAAATTGGCAGTTTCTTCCTGGGTGGTTGCCTGAGTATTATTATTCCGCAAGGCTGCAATTCTCTGCAGCAGGGACAACCTACCCAATGCCACCCTGTACGGAATACCCCAGGGATTTTCCAAAGACTCTTCAACGATTAAATCGTCCCAAGACTTCCGCTTTTGTGAGCGAACCGCGTTTCGGTATATCCTGGCTTTTGACTTGTACTAATTGCGAAATACAGTGCGACTCTCGTCGGATATGCACCTCTGATATGACCGCCGGGCCTTGTAGAGCAGTTAAGGCTGGCGTCCACCATGGGAGATTTCGAACCCTCGCCTTCCGGTGCTTGAGGGAGTGTTCGGCAGCATCACGAATATTGTTGGTAATCCTGAACACCTTGTAGTCCAGATTGTCGACTACATTCATCTCTACCGCTTCTCATTCCTCGTCTGAATCACTCCCTCCAGGCAGCACCTGAAAACACTCCAGTCATTTATTTTAGTGACGAAAACCTTATCAGCACCGTGGAAACATCCTGGCTCATATACCAGTTCGATTGCTCTCGCAATATGGTCGGGACTCGTATCAGATCTGAGAGTCCAATCAGCTATATACCTCGCAACCGTAGGCGTGGCGATCGTGACGTCAATTCAACTCTGCCCCATGCCTCCAGAGAAGGTAGAAGTGGCAGAGGGTTCATTCATTACGAAAAGGTGATTTCTGGCTATGATTTCTCCCATTTTAGCACTTTTCTTTTCAGTAATATTGGACTCCCATACCGTGTTCCAGGAGTTGGTATCTGAGCACATGATCACATTCCTCATCTCTCTAATGATCGCCTCCATAGCGGATATGCTATCTTCTACATCACTATTCACAGGTAGGTATGCCGATACCAATGTGAAGGAAATCTTCCCCACTTAACATAGCAAGATGCATAATCCGCCAAGGTGTGTTGTCTCAGATCCATCACGTTAATGTTAGGATTATTCATCACTATTGCAGCCCTGGGCCTTCGCTCTCCACTAGGCTATAACTCTTGACGTGAGGCCAAACTCCGTAACCCTGTCCCCATGGCAGCTAGGTTTCTGGACCGCCATGATATCGTAGCGTTGTGCCATAGCCCGAAGCTCGTCAGCCACAATATGCCGGCGGCCCATATTGAGCTGCAGGATATTGAGTCTAATCATAGTGAGTTCTCCTCACTAATTCTTGGGATCTCTTGATGTGCACCGGGCATTCTCGACTTTCTGCCTTAACCTTACTTGTTTGAACGCCTTCCATCACGCAGTTAAAGCATGTAGTTGAGGTCTTATTTCCTTTTGCAGGACAGTTTTTAGTAATATGCCCACTTGCCGCACACCACTTGCATACTATACCATTTGCCTCACAAGTAGCTTTTGTGTGTCCATACCCTGGCAGCTTAGACAGGAAGGAGCATCGGGGTAATCTAAAGTGGCCACCAACCTCCTGTAATTATAGTCTCCTTGAGTAGATTATACCTTACCATTGGATGTACTTCTAACACCCAATAAATGGCAATTTTATTTCTAGCCATTGATGAGAACAATGCCTTTATATTACCTACTTTGTACAGAAATTGCGGGCGATTTTGCATCCAATCTTTCCCATAGCACCCTTTCTAGATTTTCTGCAGTCCACAAAAGGGAAACTCCTTTTATCTCCACTTTTGGTTTTCTTTTTAAGGCTAGTTTTGCCTGCATTCCAACTTCTTTTAGTTTTTTCCACTCAATTATTTACATAATAATTGTTTATTGTTTACTTAATATTGTCGGAGTCCTTATTATATTAAATAGTGCCTTAAGTATTCGGCGCCCCGCGGCCAATGAAGTTATCTTTTTCTTCCCCTCTCTCCTAAAAAAATTAAATTTATTTCTTAAGCTGTTCTATATTATGTAATATTTGAATTTTTATATTAACTCAATAGTTTAAATATTATTTTTAATATTGAATAATATTTTGATATTAAGCTCATGTTACACATAGAAGCGTGTTCTAATCTTTCAGGCGAACTCGGGTGCGCTCGTATTTCTTTGGTTGGGGTTAATTTAGTTACACCTAAACAGGCTTCAATCCTGCAGTCGTATCTGAGTATCCTACAGTCAATATTGTTTTCATTATAAATTCACTAAAAAACATCTGATAAATTTATCTTCAAAATGAATTTAACTAGTAGTTAATAATAAATAGGGTGATAAATGGTTAAATAAAGTGATTAGATATGTGATTACAATAATAGAATAATACCTTGCCACCAAACTTTGTTTAATCAAAATATTAAACAACGGCCCTTTGACAAAGAACATTCTGAAGATCTGAAAATATTTAATTTCTATTCTGAACTAGTTAAAATTAGGTTGTCTACCTTTAGATCTTAATAATTTATTTTCTAAATATTTGTCTGAGATAATTCCCTCCAAAAAATAATTAAAAAGACTGAAGAAATAGTAATTGAAAAGGTTTGAGGGAAATTGCTCTTTTCAACCCTCTAGCAATTGATTATTTTTTTTTTTCTTTCAAAGCTGATTTATCCCGCGGAAGATTCAAACACAGCAACTTTAGTATTCTAGACAAATTTTAAATTTACTCTCTTGATAAAACGAAATCAATAATTATTGCACCAGTCTAGCTATTTTTTTGGCATTATTAATGATTGGCAATATTACTAGATGATTGATTTACTAATAATTTTATTACTATTCAATATTACTCAAAAATATTCGAACCATACCTGAATCACCTGGACAAATAGAAGATCCATATTTTTCACTGATTGTTGTACATATGTACCTCTCCAGCAAGTATTTTTTCGTTTTGCAAGGACAACTCGCATGAACTGCATTCACACTGAAGAAATACAATCCCTCACTGTCGTGAATCGCGCCAAAGCCTACAGCCAGACAGTTCCTTTGTTCGTCATCTGACCATGTTCTGTTCTCCAGCACGACCAACCCAACATTCTTGTTGTCTACTTCAAAACTGCCTTCTAATCTAATCAGAGAATAATCGTTATTTAGATTCATTCCGATTAATGCGAGCTTGTTGATGAAACCAGGATAAGAAATACATTTCTCCGCTGAAAGTTCCTGTAAGTAAAATAAAATATAATAATAACAAGACCCAACGAATCCGGAGGTTGGATTCCCTAAGAATACCAAAACAAAGAACGCCTTAACTACGTGCCTTCCACCACGACTCTGAACCAAAAGATATGACCAAATAAATTAGTAATGTGAACCTCATTGTGCAACGAAATATTTCTTCTATTACATAGCAGCAGTCTACTCATAATTCTAAAACTGGCACCGTTGAAGCCAATGCGCGAGTCTCCTTCCCGCCAACGTATATTCAAGCTTTCGGATCTAAATACAGTACAAAACTGATTTTAGTCAGCAGATATACGTCTTTTCTCTAAGCATCTTATAAGTCTTTATCTAAAGAAGCTGTGATATGACCCAAATCTCCAGGTGGTTAGATGAATAGGGTATCTGGTATAAAGAGAAAGAGGAGAGGGAGGGAAAGAATTAATATGATCTATGATTTATAACTGAATTTCAATTGAGAGAGAGGTGATATCCAGATAGGCAGCTCCTATACTATAGTATATACAGATATCCTACTAGGCATCTTGGTGGCAAGCTCGGCTACGATAAACTTAATAACCTATCTGACCCATAGATTTATATGTCAATATATACGTTTTATTAAATAGAAAATATAACAAACTTCACATCAAGCATTACCTGACTTGAGTTTGCAGTTCCTTTCTCAGCCTCTTTTATTGCTGCATGTACCTGAATAAATTTGTAATCCGTGGTGCAATGCGCTGCAGTGAGCACCCACTGAGGATGAATTAAGGAACCAGCACAAATCATTTTTCCACCCGATTTATCTATTAGAAGGCGAACAACATAAGGAAAGTCTGTATACTTGGCTCGATTCCTATACTCAGTAGCAGAATAAATCCGGAAAAGTAAAACTGTTCCAGTGGTTATGAACAATACTGCCTTAGAGGCTTGCATTACTCAAACAAATGAATCAGATAGATATATCAGTTGAATAAAAAAGATGAAAATACCTGACCAACTATTAGTAGTAGGTTATAAAATATATCGATTTGATGAAGTCAGACAAGTGATCAACAATATATAACCTTATCATCGTTAAATTGTAAATACATTATTTATTTAGGTTTCGTCAAACTTTAGAAGTGCTTTATATAAATTTTAGAAACATTCATATGTTATCATAGACACTGTTCTTCAACCCGAACCTTTTCAATTACTATTTCAATCTTTTTAATTATTTATTGGAGGGGATTTTCCCAAGCAAATATCGAGGAAATGTATGATTGTTATCTAAAGGTAGATTCATTTTAACCAGTTCAGAATAGAAATTAAATATTGTCAGATCTTCAGAATGATATTTGTCAAAGGGCCGTTGTTGGTGTTTTCGATTAGATAAGGTTTGGTGGCAAAGTATTATTCTATCTAATCACTTTACTTAACCATTTATCACACTATTTATTATTAACTAGTGAACTACTTAAATTCATTTTGAAGATGAATTTATCGGATGCTTTATAGTGAATTTATAATAAAAACAATATTGACTGTAGGATACTCAGATACGACTGCAGGATTGGAGCCTATCTAGGTGTAACCAATGTAATCACAACCAAAAAAATACGAGCTCACTCGATATCGCCCGAAAGATTAGAACACGCTTCCATGTGTAACATGAGCTTAATATCGGTGACGGCCTTTGGGTGGGCATTTTTGGAAAGAAAGAGGCGAGAATACACCCCTTGTTGGATCTGGTTGCTGTAGGAATTTACATGATCTAGTTCTTGAGGGGTTTTCAGAGATACTCTGCAGTTAATTATTTGGTGAAGAGGTACCAGTGTCTGGTTCTAAATGAGGGTCAGGGACGTAACTAAGTCTACGTCTCTAAGCGTATTTCTATGAGCTCGTGCCCTCTCCATCTCTCCCCAGTCTTCATTTTATCCTTGATCTAATCAAAGCATAATCTACGTTTTTTTTAATCATTCGATTGAATTATTTTTCAGGTATAGGACCTTCACAGCCTCTACCTTCTCAATTCGTAGCGCCGGTTGCTTGAGCGTAGAATAGAGTTCGGAATAGAAAACATATGGCCATAATGGGCAATAATTTGAGGAAAAGTCGTTCACTAAATAACTGAATAATTTAGCAGCCATACGCCATCACGAAGAAAAAAAAAATCAATGTCAGAATTATGAATGGTTCAATTGATCAGGTATGGTGGGAGTATCGAGGAAAACTATCTCCAAATAAGTGTTTCTGGCTCCCTATAGCTAATACTTTGCATTTAAATCTGCATATGGGTATTTAAGGAGAAACAGGATCCGTATTCGGAAACTGGTATTTCAGGCAAAACTACGATTCCATTGTTATCTAAAAAGTGAAGTTTAAACTATAGATCGCGCCTGGTTAGTAAACCACGTGCTCCCTGGTTATCTAAAAGAAGAGAAAACAAAACGATCACTACTGCCGCATATCACAGCCCCAAGCTGCTGAAGAAGATGCATGACTTAGAAGTCACAGTCAACAGGCGTAGGAAAAAAAAAACTTTTACCGTTGTGAATGGTAGGAAATTTTTAACTGGTAAGATTTATATTCAGATAAATATTATATATATATATATATTGAGATACATGAAATCTGTTTAAACTGCTTAGGCTTTTTTGTAGAGTGGTGGTTTGTTGCCAGGCGTATATCAGAACATTGTAGAACCTAAATTTGAGATCTATAGAGATTTTTCGGAGATTCAAAACCTTCAAAAGAAAGAAGAAAGTCTATTTCTGACCCTTGGTCATTCATTGAGGTTATTGTGGAACTGCGGTTTTTAGAGCTTCATTAATTAAATAAATTTGTATCCAACGAAAATGTGTGTTTTATTTTACGATTTCAGCAAACTTTTTACACAGATGAATCATACTTTATTTACAACATAAATTATTTATAGGCTAACATAAGTATGTGTGGTTTTCTTTAACCAATGTTCATTGTTTATATTCTCAATCAAAGCAGAATTTTATTTTCTCTTAGACATTCACATATTAAGCAAAGTACAAACGAAAAAGTGGTTATTGAGAGGTCACGGAAATGTTGTGTAAAAGGATATATTCATTTAAGTATTGAACGTGATATTTACTGTCATTCTTAGTTTTTTGCTAGTTGTTTTCTTTCATGATAGTTGAAGCCCTCTCCAAAATGGCAAAATGTAACCATGTCTTATGGAAAAAAATATTAAAAAATGATCTCTTAAAGTATTATTGTTATTGAAGTTATAGTATTATTGTTCGTGAAATTACATATAAAAGGACTTAAGGAATCACTTAAACACCATTTCATATAGATATTTAGTTTCTTCCTTTTTTTCCAAAGTAATTATCGTCACTTTTATGAAAAAAAATCTTTCGGGCTGAATCCCCCCCCCAAAATTAAATCGTGGATCCGCTAGTATAGTGGAAGATCCATATTTTTCACTCATTGCTGTGCATATGTACTCCAGTAGATATTTTTTTTGTTTTGCAAGAACAAGTCCCATGGGCTGCATTCACACCGAGAAGTACAATCTCTCACTGTTCTACACCGGGCCAAAGAATACAGCCACACGGTTCCTTTGTTTGTCATCTGTCCACGTTCTGTTCTCCAGCACGATTAGCTTTACTATATAACTTAAAGGTGCCTTCTCAATTTGATAATTTATTTGAAATACAAAATAAAAAGCATTATATGTATTTTGTACTTTTGAAATTAAGTAGATCATATGTATTTTGTAGTTCAGAAATTAAATATAAATATATTTCAATGTATTTCCAAAAGAAAATACAGTTACAAACAATTTATTTTATATTTTACTTCTTAAAATACAAAAATATAAAATACAAAAAAAGTATATTATTTTGTTTTTTTTAAATACTGAGCAAGTCTGACGTGAACACTGCGGATCATTTGTGGAGCGGCCCACAGTGATCGGAAACAGTAAAAACCCTGGGAAACTTTCAATTTAAGCAAGATATTTGAAAAATGGAATTTATTATGTCATGTCCGTCATTCTGAATTAATGAAAGAAAGAATAAAACAATTTCGGTAAGACAAGAATTATTATTATTGTCGTTTTTATGCAATAATAAATAAAATATATTTTTCATGAAATATTACAAATATATATTACCTTAATTACTATCAAGAGGACATAATGATAAGAGAAGAAGATCAAATCAAACAATGGAAATAAAACCAAATACATTACCAAAATCTCAAGCTATCGCAGCTGATTTTTGTATTCATCATTAGTAGAGGATTCAAAGAACATTTTGATTACAGTAAGACCTTGCTTAGCGGTCGTTGGCGAAAGGTACGTTACGATGGAAAAACGAAATTCCAGGATCCGTTGAGCTATATAACTTATTCTTAATAAAATTTTAAAAAATCGTATTTTATTTCTTTTATTTTATTAAGAAATGGCTTATTTAAGAACTTCTTTGACTCATTTCAATAAATCACACAACAAAAATATTTTGAGAATTCAGCAAAAACGCCTAAAATATGTTTAATGAAGTTGCATTATTAATGTGGTAGAAACTGACTTTTTATTTATATTTTATTGAAAATCTTGGAAACAATCAATAGACAAAAATGTTTTTAAAAAAGTATATTTTCAAATACATTCTTTGCAATTTTTCTTATAAATGTAAAAATTTAACTTAATAAATATAAACTATATTTTATAGTCCTTCCTTAGCATCAACAATGGCTGGGCTTTTTCGGTATGATTGTGCCCAAGTACTTCCGCATACAATTCAGTACCGGACGTATGTACGTGTAGACGCTGACCGAGCCTTCCAGGCCGCATCCGGACCGAGGAACTTCTGACAAAAAGAATAAATCGCATCTCTCGCTAGAATACATTTGAGATGCTATTCCGACTTGCCGATCGCCGCAAACTAGAGGGCTACCTGCAAGCAATGTTAACAGGTTGACTAGCTGCTCATAAGTAATTATAAAAATACAAAAAATTAATTAAATGTCAAATATATTAGTTGGCAAATGAATTTTGAAATACTATTTCGTTTTAATCCTAAATTAAACGGTTTGTAAATGGGGTAAAAACTAAATTAGCTCATGTTAAGAAAAAGAGAATAAAGATGGTTTGATGAATTGAACAGATATAATTTCTTTCACTCTTTGTTAACAAAAGACATGTATAACATAGTAATACGGAAAAGAAAACTATTTGTACCTATAGAAACATATTGAGAGCCAATTTTATAATTTAACACATCTTGAAAATTTAAAGAGAGATAAAAAAACAACCCAAGTAAAACCCAAAGTCATCCAAAAGCTTTCGTATCATAAGTCTCTCATTAATAATACGCATCGAAATTGTTATGGTTATTCAATCTTCTTCGGCATAGGAAAAGGTTACTTAACTAGAAGAGGAAATTAGACTGTCTTCTGGTCATCACTGGAGGAATAATTGATCGACGAAGACTGTGATGCGGCAGAAACGGGCCAAACAGATGACCTGGATTACAGAGTGTCCTGGATCATTGATGTCATCCGTGACACCGCTCAGGAATCCCTCCAGCACCGGAAGCTGAGAGCTCGTCCTGTTCCATGGTGGACGTCAGCTTTAACCACAATGAAGTAAAAACATTACAAGTCCCGGCGATTGAACCAGAACAGTATTTGTGACGAGAGGCGCATTCCACTTTGTGATGATAATACGTCAAAGCCAAGGCCTAACGGAACGAAGTGGGATTACAAAAGTGAATGTCTTGGAACGAATTAATACTTGAGGAGTCATCCAAGAATCGATAGTGTTGGTGGCCGAGCGTACACCAGCAGTTGCAAAAGTATGCAGTTAAAGTAAGCCCCCAGCAACTTGTACGAACTCTTGAGAAGCTACCTACAGAACCGGGAATTGAAGATACATGGTAGCTTCTTTGAAGTGGAGCATTCTATAGAATGAGAATGTCTGCAGTCCTCTGTCCTTGGTCCAGCCCTATGGAAATTGATATCGCTCTTTGTAGTGACATCGAATAGCAGATTCAGGTTAAAAGAAGCTGAACGATGCGCTGATTTATTTCTATTCTAACTTTGTGAAGAATATTTCCGGCATAAGATGAAAATATAGGGCTTGATATATCTACCTGTAAATCTACGAATGAGAATCAATGAAAACTTAAGAAAATGGAAGAACATTCCCTGGGAGATAAAATTAAAGAAATGGAACCGGAGTTGGGTGACCACGCCAAAATGATCTACTCTAAGATGTCATGTTAACCTCTAGGCAAGGTCCACTTGCCGTAAAAGTGCCAATTTAGTCCTGGATAACTTTATTATTTGGAAAGAAAAGGAAAATAAAACTTAAACGAATGGTCATGCGCGAAGAAGATTCGAACAATAATAATTAATGCATTAGTCATCTTGAGGTCGAATACAGTATAATGAGTGGTCAATTTATTTTATTTTTTCAAAAACTTTTAATCCTTCGTTAATGATTTTACAATATTTTTCAGACCGTTTATAATAAGATAAATTGAAGTACGAATCTTGATCTAATTATAAATTAAGCGTAGAAAGATTTTTCAGGAAAATGTAGTGAAGAATAACAGTAGAAATGCAGTTTTGATATTTTGATGTTTTTTTATTAACACGGTTGGAGACAGTTATATTTCCAGGCCCTATTCTTCATTAGGATTGGATTTATCTTCTGAGGAGTTCAACGGAAATAATTTATGTACAATAGTCTGCAGCCAGTTTTAAACAGATAGTACGGACAGCAAGCTGAAATGAGGAAAAACACACACACACACAAAAAAAAGAATGCCAAATTTACCATTTAAATAGGCAAGATGGTTGTCAACAAAATTGCTGGATCTTCCTAAAAGTTTTGAAATAATTCAAAAATAGTTATAAACTAGAGAAAGATAAGGAATACTCCTTTACCAGAGTCTCCTGAGCAGGGAGATGTTGGCTCCTTTTCCGTTACGAAACAAATCGCGCTGCCGCCCAGCCAGCTCTTCCTGTGGCAACCGTACCCAGGCAGGCTATGATGTTGGTGCAGTAGAGCTCCTCGTCGCTCCCACATAGCTAGGCCGAATCCGGCCACTCTGCAATGCCCCTCCAAAAAGAATCGTCCATCTCCACCAGCTTCATTGTAACGCTGTCAACATAAAAACTATTTGTCAGTTTGATGGAGCAGTAGCCATATACAACGTTTAACCCAAGCGTGCCCCACTTGTTTACAAAATAAGCATTGATGATATATTTTTCAGTTCCTATGTGAAAAAAAAGATACATAACATAATTATACATTTATGAATTCGACATTTAATTTCGTTGATAATAAACAAGAAGTCCGTATTTATTATTAGTCAATAATCCAATAATACCTAATACTAAACCGTTTAGTTCCATATTTTTATATGCACAGGAAAGTTTCTAAGAGAACAACAGAAATTCTCGAACTAAACGCAATATTCCTAGAAACAATCGCAAAACGATGCCCAGAAGGAGAATGGCTTCATATATGGTATAACTAATGGCTCTGAATTAGAAGCAAGGCAAACTCCTCGGAGCTAGAATCTACTCAAAGAATTTTAATTTACCGGTCGGAAGGTTAGCCACAAATATTTAAGGGGAATTCTTTTGGTTGAATACAAAAACAATGAAGTCACTTTCTTTAATTACTCATAGATGCCAATTATATCCCTCCGAATTCGATGTAATATGAATTCGATCGTCCTTAAATGTCATCTGTATTAAGATCAATTATAAGAAAATGGGACACAAGGCGATTTCCAGAGGATAACAGCGCATTGCGGACTCTGCGAGAATGATGAGACTGACGAGTTGGATAGTCTAACAACTAACTGTTATTTATTAATAAATAAACAATTCGGATTCCGACATTACCTCTCAACCACCAGCTAACTTACTTGCGACATAGATAGTATAACTGAAAATTTCAATTTAAAAAAACATACAGGTATGATCCTCATCAACATTTAGACAAGAATTCGATACTGTTACAACTAATTCATTAATTTTTAAGCAAATAAACCTAAATATTCCCAGATATCTGATATAGATATATAACTGGCTTGTTTTTCCAACAGTAGTCGTTTGTTTTTGAATTTCCAAAATTTCTTTTATATTGTAATACACCGTTCTTGTGAGTGTCTCCACTTGCAGTCTGCTTTTCAAACAGGGCTCAAGTGACGAATAGCTTAATCCAAATAAATAATTTCTCCATTACATCTTCTTTTCCCAGTGAACTAAGCAGAACAAAATCATGTTGCTTACCAGCATGGTTCCAAAAACATTCCAAAGAAAAATCGGAATGACAGTCTCCTTTTTGTTCTTGCTGTTAACACACATGACACACGATCAAAAGTTACCGCGCCATCTTTATTTAATATGCACCATGCATCTTTTCTTCATCTTCTTATTTCCAGAACAATTTATGGATTTCTTCAGAAAAAAAATACATTTTTTTGGTAGTTGCCATACTAAAAAAATAGTTTCTATACATTACTGTCTGAATTGAAAATAACACTAATTCACAAATATAATATTAGAAATACACACAAGAATTATTCGAGGTGTCAAAATAATAATAAAAACATTGGGATACGGAATCCACAGAACAGTTGCATAGAGAGCACACTGGGGTGTGAGGCACCCAGGAGAATCACGAAAACAACATATTGGGGTGTGGTATACCCCATAATGACTTTCGATAACTCCCAAAAATGGAGTGCTAATGGCTGTAATTAGCCTGGCTATGTTGGATGTTTATTTACATGAAAAATCTTGGCCAAAGAGCTATTTATATAAAAGTAATTTAATATTGAAAATATTGTGGGATGCGTCACACCCCAGTGTGTCGTTCTAGGGTTAGTTCTATATAAATTTGTAATAAGACCAAAATTAATATACGCCTACCTATATGGATCTTCACTAATATAAATCACATTTTCAAAACAAATTCCTAAGAATTATCAATAATTATCCCTTTTAAACAAAAAAAAAGCTAAGATGCACTCAGAATTAAATATGCCATATATAAGATTACATTTACAAAACTTCTCAAGCATTCTTTAATTTCGTTAAGAACTCTAGTTAAATCCATTAATAGCTGAAATAGGGAATTATGCAAAAACAACACCCAAATGAAAACATAGGAGTACGAAACATATTCTGCTCTAAAATAGTCTATATTTTATTTTATTGTAAATGATATTGGTTTTTTTCCCATAGGGTTCATTTTTTTAACCAATAAACGTAATATATTTTAAATGTAAGATACTGTAGTTATATACAATTGTATGGTTCAAAGATATAAACCCACAGCAAGTTATAGGACTAAGAATCTCCGAGCCAGGCTTTGTCCTCCACATGTAGAAGGGAAAGCAGGACTCCAGGAGATCTAAGTGCCACATTTTCAGCCGTGTCACTGGTATGAGAAGCCAGTGGAAAGTGAAAGATGGCAATAGAGCCACAGACGCTCATGACTTATGGTTTTTTAACCAATAAACGTAATATATTTTACATGTAATATACTGTAATTATATACAATTGTATGGTACAAAGATGTATACACATTAATAAGATACATAAACATTAATGTTTGGAGTGCAGCAGCTGGACAAGACTCCAACAGTATATTTACAAGAGATTAAATAAAATGACTTTTGAGTTTGAAAAGTAAGTCATCGTGCTATACACGATCGAAAGCTTGGGCTACGTCCAAAAAGACACCAATGCAATATTGCTCGTGACTCAATTGTAGATTATATATGGTCCACAACGCGAAGGCCTTGTTGGACAGCGGAATGTCTTGAGCGGAATCCAAACTGATGGGAGGGGATATTGTGGGATTCGAGTATGGGTACAATGGGTTTGAGAAGGATTTTCTCAAAGATTTTTGGAAGGTTGGGAGTAAACTTATCGTTCTATGGGATCATGTATTATTAACAGACTTACCTGGTTTAGAGAAGAGGCTAATTATGGACTGTTTCCAAATCAGAGGACAGTGGCTTGCAGCAATTGTTAACTTGTAGATGTGAAAATATGAAAAAATAATACATATATAAAAAAAATCAAATAAACATAATTGTTAAAATACTAGATGGTTTCTGAAGACGTTCCTACAAGTTTATTCGTGCGGTGCCGAAACTAAGATTTTCTCCAGGATGTGGGTAAGTATAATTTTGTCGCCCTTTATTCCACACCACAGGCGGATCTAAGGGAGGGGGGCTTTCGGGCTGAAGCTCCTCCCCCCCCAAAATAGCAAAATATAACCATGTTTTACAGAAAAAAATATTAAAAACTATCTCTTAAAGCATTCTTGTTCGTGTAATTACATTTAATAGGAATTCAAGAACCCCTTAAACACCATTTCATATAGGAAGTTAATTTCTTTCTTTTTCTAATTAATTATTGTTATATGTATATAAAAAAAAAAATCTTTCGGGCTGAAGGCCCCCCCTCAAAAAATTAAATCCTGGATCCGCTAGTGTTCCACACAGTCTTCTCATAAGTGAAAAAGAACAATGTAACAATATTTTGGGCAGTACATTGAGACATAAATACAATATATTTGTGTGATTTTGTGAGTAATGACAAACATCAGCAGTTTTTTTACCCTAAACCCAAAAAAACATACTATACACCGAATTAAGGTCAATACATAAAACTTCATTGCTAACGAAAAAATAAAATTTCGTTTCTACCTCCTGAATCCTGCCTCTCGAGACAAGTGCCCGCTTTTCAGAAGTAGAGTTCGTTCATTCCAACTCTTTATCTTTGGAGCCATGGAATAATAGTTCGCATCACACCAATCCCGACTGAATTCGGCTCGAGAATGCTGAAGTGTTGTAGTCTCTTCTCCTCTGACCGTTGCCAAACACAACAACGAAATCAGTATAAATATTCTTGTAACCATGATTATCCTTGCGCGTGAGATAATCAGCGATTGTAAACTGAATGGAAATATTATCATTGTCCACTTAACAATATTTTAAAGCAGACCCTACACGGTAATTCATGAATGAACGTCACAAGAAGTGCCAAGATTGCCCGCTATCGCTTTGATCATGAAGACCCTTACACGTTCAATCATTACTGATCATTACTTATGTGAAGTTTCCACTTTTTTTTCTCTCCAATTTATTGCCTACTTGACTATTTAAAGAAAAAATAGTTGAAAATGGTTAATAATAATATAGACTAGGGATATAAACAACTATTTACTTTTATGAAATTATTTACTTAATAACGAGACCTAGGTAAACTAACCTATCTAGTAGTAAGGCTAGTCTCATAGAAAACCGTATTGACAAAAGTTAGTAAAATATAAGTCTACTACTTACAAAAATTAAGGAAAGGTATTGCGAAAATAATAAATTTGTTGAGGAAAATGGGAAAAGAACTGATAAATATACACAACGTTAAAGTTTTTTTTTCCTTAAAGTAAATTGTGAAGTTTCCTCATTTTTTTTTTTTAATTTGTTGCCCACTTGACTATTTAAAAGAAATAGTTGAAGATGGTTTAAAATTATAAACAAGGGATATGAAAAATTATTTAACTATTTACATATAATGAAAATCAGAAATTTATAATGGTTGTGAGGCCTAGGTAACCTAACCTATCCAGTAGTATGGTTAGTCTCCCCACTACTTTTACCTCAGTCCCCCTCCACTTCTCGTGAATGAACCTTTGATTTCCGGATGTTCGGAAATCCGCAGCGCACCATCAGTACTTCATTCACTACCTTACACGACAATTCGGAACGTCATTAGTGCAATTCCGATTGACCGTGTAGGGTCCCCTTAAAGGGTCTTCATGATCAAAGCGATAGCGGGCAATTTTGGAACTTCTTGTGACGTTCATTCATGAATTACCGTGTAGGGTCTGCTTAATGATGCTCCAAATATGTGTTCACAATTTGTCATCTGACAGGTAATTTAGTCGTTATTATATTTTATCGTGGTAAAGAAGATTCGAACAGTTCCCATCATATCGCAGTGGGATTGAAGGCCGTAAATACTTTTTACTCAAAACTAACCCGAAGACGAAAGAATATGAATAAATACCAATAACCGAACATGATTAATAAGGCTTTGTTCGGATTAACAACTGGTACTTAAAAGGTAATGCTATGTCATCACAGTGTAGGTTGCAAGGAATTATAATAGGTTTCTTTTGGGTTATATATATTTTAAAGCATTGTTGAAAAAAAAAAGGTGATTATTGATTAAAGAAGGTTATTTAATTTATAATAAAATATTAAATACAATATTTATGAAATCTACGGTGGTTTCGTTATAAGCAATTGATAAATCACAATACCACATAAACTAAATAACACATCTTAAAGTGATACGAGTCATAGGGAGAGAAGAACCTGTTCATTCAAAACCAAACATCCATTGGGTGCGTAAATAATGAATGCCTAAAATCTACAATGCGATTATTGGATTTTTCCAATATTTAATAAAGTAGCGATTAGACAGAAATCAAGTAAGTAAAAACTTGTACGTATACATTATAATATTATAACGAATAAATGAGTATTTCATTCTCGAGTAACTGCTATATCACAGATATGTAAATTTATAACATGTCACCGATATTACGTGCTGTAAAGTCAATACAGGCCATACATTACACTCACCAAAAATATATAACTTTTATTCACAAGAAAGATTAAAGTAAATGCAAAAACAAATAATTTCATTTCTCTTAAAGCCTCATGAAATTGACGAAAAAATATTTCAAGAAATACAATAAAATTTTAAATTAGCGTTAAAAGATTAAATATTAGACCATAGAATCAATTGTGAACTGTATTTTTATTTTACAAACTCAATATAAACTACGCGCCTTTGCGTGGAGTCCCAAGAAGAAAATATATATATATATATGTGTGTGTGTGTGTGTGTGTGTACTAATAGAATAATGTAATGTATAAATTATGCCCATATGGATTAATCGATATGCTGTGTGTAAAGCAACCCTATGTAGTAGGGAGCACTACTTGCAATAAAGTATTTCTCTGTCCCTCTTTTTAATTTTCCACGAATATCTACAAAAAAGATCTAACATCACAGATATATCATCAGATCCATCCGTGATGTTCACCATAGTATACACTAATAGGTCAATCAACACTAATTTTATTTTCGTAAATTTACATGAATAAAACACACTTAACAAACATAGATTAACTTGCAGTGCTGGGTATTATTCAGAATATGAAAATTAATCGTCTATCTAATCAGTACCTACTACTCATCCATCTTCA